GGCACCCTGCCCCACCTCCATGCAAGTTGTACCTCACCCCCCGCCCCCACGCTGGAGTGGCTCACTCCACACAGCCTCCAGAGACTGACAGGTGACTCTGCACCACGTAGGCACCCACTGCATGCAGGCTGCACCCCACCTGCCAGGGCTCGGGGGAGCAGCCCCACCCTGCACGGCCTGCAGACTGGCGCGCATCCTGCCCAGGCTCACTCCAGGGCCTCACGCCCACACGGCCCCCAAAGGCTGACCATCACACCACTGTTGCCCTGTATCTGCCTGAGCACATTGGGGTGGACGTGAAGAGGACACCCACCCCACTGCTGTATGCGCCACCCCTGTGTGGCCTGCAGCAATGGATAGGCTCTCCAACCCTGCTGCCACATGCACCATGTCAATCAAGGACGCCATGCCATCAATGACAGCTGAAGAAGCTACACAGAGACTGAAGAAGCCTGCCTACTGACCCCACACACTGCTCCAGGACCGATTTTTACTGTGAAACCCACCTGTACAGTTAGTTGGCAGAGATAACAGACCCACCCCACGTGCAGACATCCACACAGGTCACAGGAAGTGCAGAGAAGCAGGTGACATGGCAGCCGCACAGGACACTAACTCCAGCAGCAGACACTGGGGGGGGGGGATCCCTGTGACACTTGAGTACAAATTCAGCAGAGTTGTTCTAAGGAAGCTCTGGGAGACACTAGGACACAGACAGACAGACAGACAGCTCGACAACACTGGGAAACAATCTCCAACATACATGAGAAATCCGGCAGAGAGAGGTCACAGAAAAGAAGCTAACAGCCACCTGGAACTGAAGACCCAGGGAGCCAGGCAGGACCACGGCGAGGCCCTTGGCTACAGAGGAGACCAAGGAATTCCTAAACTCAAAGAGTCCCATAAGTAAATAAATAAAAGTTGGGGGCACTTTGAGACTTACAGGAAACTTTCAAACAAATATTAGAATTACGGGTGTTCTGAAAGAGAAGGGGAAAGGCAGGGAAACTTAGTCAGTGAGATAAAAGCTGGAAAATTCCCAAATTGTGGGAAGATCTGGACATGCAGGGAACTCTGAAAACAGCAAAGAAAAGCTTCAGGTCACATTAGAGAACCACCATTAGACTAACAGCAGGTTTCTCAGCAGAAAACGCACAGGCCTAGAGGAAACGGGATGAAATATTTGAAGTTCTGAAAAAAACATCTGCCAACCTCCAGAGCAGCCAGACTTTAGTAAGGAAGAGGAATTAGGGCTTTCTAAGACAAACCCAAACGGAGGGAATTTGTCGCCACCAGACTGGCGTGTGGAAGATGCTGAAGGGAGTCTGACATCTAGGAAGACCCCTACAACACGAAGCTACCAAAGTGCAAAACCCACCAGGAAAGCAGATGAACAGGAGAAAAAGAACCAAACCTTATCAACACAGAAAACCCCAAAGAGAGAGAGAGAAAGGAAGGAAATTCAAAACCTCCAGAGGAAAATCAACAAACAGCAGGAGTAAATCTTTACCCATCAACAGCCGCCTGCCATGCAGATGGCGGAATTCTTCAATTAACAGACAGACTGCTTGGATGAATTCTAAAAAAGACCGGACCACAGGCTGCATAGAGAAAGCCACTTCACCAGTCAAGACCAGAGATGGGAGGGAGGGAATGGGAGAGGCACGCCTCCAAAATGGAACCCAAGAGCAAGACCCACTACGATCACCCCAGACTCCAAGTCCAACACTGGAAAAAGAGAAAAGTAAGAGATCAATTCAAGGAGAGGAATAAGAATTGTCAATGTGCAAGCACGTAATGCTGAGGCACCCAATTTCATAAAGCAAATGTCATTAGGTCCAGAGGGAGAGGTGGGCTCCAGTACAGAACTTCAACACTCCCTTTCATCAGTACTAAAATCCAACACAAAACACAGGAGCAAATGGACTAAGAGACCTTCCCGGGGCATTTCATCCAACAGCAGTGGACGCACTTCCCGTCAGCACATGGAGCGCTTCTAGGGCAGACCCGATGGCTCAGCAGCCCAGGCCACCGATCCAACCAAGCCTTCAGTTACCTTCGCTGACCAGAGGACTGAACCAGAAATCAACAAGAGAACTTTAGAAACTGTTCAAATTCATGGAAACTAGACAACGTGCCATTGAGTAAATAATAGGTCATCAAAGAAGCTCAGAGAAAGAATTATTGAAACAAATGAAAATGAAAACACGATATACTAAAACCCGTGGGACCCAACGAAAGCTGTACTAAGAGGGGAGTTTACAGCAATAAGAACCTATTATTTAAAAAATCTCAAATAAGAAACCTAATGATGCAGCTCGTGGAACTAGAAAAGCAAGAACAAATCAAACTTAAAATTAATAGAAGGAAAGGAATAACAAAGTGAAGAGTATAAATAAATAAAACAGAGATAGAAAATACAAAAGGTTAACAAAATGAAGAGTTGTTTGTCAAAAACATAAAATCACCCAACCTTTAGTTTGACTCTCCTAAAAGAGAGAAGACCAAGTAAAGAAAACCAGGAAACTTTCAAAGGAGGCGTGACATCGGGTAGCACAGGACTCTGAGGGTCACCGGGGATTGTTGTGAGCACCTGTACATTAACAAATTGGGAAATCTAGAGGAAATGGGTACATTTCTGTACAAATACAACCACCACAATTGAACCATGAAGACAGAAAACCTGAACAGAACAAATAATGAGGAATAATACTGACTCAGTCATGAAAAGTCTCCCCACAAAGAAAAGCCTGAGATGAGTGGTTTCATTGCTTAGTTCTACCAAACTTTTAAAGAACTAACACCAGTTCTTCTCAAACTATTGCAAAAAAATGAAAGGGAGGAGCTCTTCCAAACTCATTTTTCCCAGGCCAATATTACCCTGATACCAAAACCAGACAAGGACACAGCCACAAACTCCACAGACGTGAGTGATGCAGAAGTGCTCAGAAACACCAGCAAGTTGAACCCAACAGCACGTGGTCAAGAGCGGTGTGTCCTGGGGATTCCAGGAGGGACAGACATGACTCATCAGTAAATAGAATGCATCGCAGCAAAAGAATGAAGGACGGAGTGCAAACGATCTTCTCAATAGATGCAGAAAAGCGTTTAATAAAATTCAACAGCTCTTCATGATCAACACTCTGAATTAGGCATAGGAGAACCGAACCTCAACAGAACAAAAGCTGTATGTGATAAACCCACACAGCGCCGTTGGAGCAGAGAAAAGCTGTGGCATTTCCTCTCAGACCTGGAAGGAGACAAGGGCACCCACTTCCATGACTGGGATTCAGCATGGTGCTGGAGGTCTGAGCCAGAGCCAGTAGGCTAGAACAAGAAATAAAAGAATACAAGTAGGAAGGAGTCAAATTATCCCTGTCTGCAGGTGGCATGATTCTACACCTAGAAAAACCTATAGACCCCACCTGAACTATTAGAACTGATAAATGCATTCAGTGAGGACCCAGGATACAACATTAACATACAAAAATAGATAGCATTTTTATGTTCCCAAAATACGAACTTTCTGGAAAGAAACTGAGGAAGCAGTCACACTAAAGAGGCTGTCCTTTCTCCCATGCATTTATTGGCTCCTTTACTGAGAGTCAGTTGGCAGCAGATTTATCCGTGTGGATTAATTTCTAGGCTCTCCATTTTGTTCCGTTGGTCTGTGTGTTGAGTTTTAAACAAGTACCACGCAGTCTTGGTTACTTTGGATGATAAGGTCACGTTGTGCTGTCCCCCCAACTGCAGGGACAGGTGTGGCCGCATCCTGGGGACAACCGCAGGCTACTGCTCTCCCCTGGCAAAGGCGCTTTCTTTCTCCTTAGCCTTGAGGGTGCCAGGCGCACCCATCTCCCGAGGGTGCACCCTCGTGTTGCACACACTCACTTCAAGGCAGCTGTTCTGCTGATGAGCTCAAAAAAACTCCATTCTAATTCATCTTAGCCCGAGTTGGCTTTGTTCAATTATCTGGACTCAACTTGACTCAACTTGACTGAGCCCCATCAGCCGGCCCACACTCTCAGCAAGTATTTTAAAGTACTTTTCTGTGCCGACATCTGTATGGGGCCTTGGGGCTCAGGTTGCTCTCTGAGCAAGTGGTCTCACTTCTCTGTTCTGACCTGAGGGTGTCAGTGTGTTGTGGTGAAGAGATTCCAGCAGGACATGGAGCAGGAGTGCCCTGTGTTTTCACCCAAGACCTGCCCCCTGTTTCTTTATCTGTAAAGTGGGAATCGTAAAACCTACTCTGTGGGGGATTTGTCAGAATTAAATTCATAGAAGGCACTCAGAAATGGTATCCACTAAATCTTCCCACTTCTCTGGTCCTGAAGGAAAGATTAAGAAACCCAGCACACACACACGCACACCAAAGCTCATCCAACACATAGAAGGCAGAGAGAGTCCGCAGGGACCCGCAGTGGTCCTAACCTTGTCTCTCCCCACGCTCCTCAGGGGTCCCTTTTGGTACCTGCACTGAAGTTCTTTTGGAAAACAGCCTTGACATTTCTCCAAGTTACTGGAGGGCACCCCTGGGCTCAGTCTGACCCTTGGCATTTCACCTGGCCTGTGCCAGGGCTTCATTATTACCCACCCCCTCGGGACCGGGAGACCACCCAGGAACCGAGGGGATGGCCGCAGCCTCCCCGCCAACCAGCCAGCAGACCCCTGTAAGGCCCCGACAGGTCACCCTGCAGTGTTGACCGCAGAGGACAAGACGGGAAAGAACCTCTGGACTCTAAGAGAGCGAGGTGGCGTCAGGGTGGGTCCCCCAGCCCCGGGTGCACTCCTCCCCCACAGCAGGGCTGCAACCTCCGCCAGGCTCCAGGACACGGCCGTGGGCAGTGCGTGTTCTGCAGTTCCTGAGGCCCAGCGGCCTTTCCTCCGCAGCTCGCGGCTCCCCGGTGGTGCTCATTCCAGGTCCAGGCTGCGCCTCTGCCAACAGCGGCCTCCCTCAGAGCTGCGCAGGGTCGCCTCACCTGCATGTCCCCCTCTTTCAGGTTCTCGATGGTCTCGGACGCAGAGACGGAGAGCATTTTCATGGAGCCCATTCACCTTTCCTCGGCTGTGGCGGCCAAACAGATCATCAGTGAAGGTGACGTGGTGGGCCCTGGGCGGGGGGGACCCACATGGGGGGCCCTGGCCTGTCCATTCAGGAGGGCAGTGTGAAGAGGGCAGAGCTGCCAGAGCCACTGTCAACTCTGATGGGAGGGAGGAGGTCAGCAGTTCTCCTTGGCTGTGGGGAGGCAGCCCCAAGCTGCCCCCGGCCTCCTGTTGAGCCGTTTTGGTTGGCTTCAAGAGTCGTGGGCGGGTGGCTTATAGGAGAGACCAAACCTGAGAGCCCAAATGGCTCCAAACGGATCCTAAAGGGATGTCTGCATCCTCCGAGCTTCTGGTGGCCTTCAACTGAGGGGCTCGTGGGAGGAGGCAGGAAGGGGCAGGAGCGAGGTCCACACTGTGCCTTTGCCCTTTGAAGCCGACGGCAGACTGTGCTTCACTCAAGGACGTTCATCCCAGTGGGAGGGATTTTTCCTCCCTGTCACTTTTGGACAGATCATCATTCACTTCACTCCTTGGCTTTCCTGGGCCCCCACGCCTCTGGGGGAGGTGGGCAGAGCAAGGCAGCACTGCTGAAGAAGCACCCTCAGGCCCTTGGGCCTGATCTGGCTCCCGCCACTGGTGGCACGGTCCCTTCCCTGGCCTCGGTCATGCCAACCACCCATGCTGCTCCTTGTCCACCTAAACCACAGGTTCTCTTGGACCCCTGGCCCTTTGAATCCCCACCAGGGGCTCTGGAGGACACTGGAGCTCTCACACCTCACAGAGAACCAGAATCCAGTGTGCCCGGACACTGGGAGGCCCCACCTCCTCCCAACCCCTCTGCTCCACGTCAGGCCGGGCCCTGGGCCCGGGCAGTGCCTCCACCTTGATCTGGCTGTCTCGGCATTTCCCCTGCACACTGCAGCACGGCAGGGCCTTCCTCCTCCTTCCTGTGTGGGAGTTCCTAACCTCCGCCCGGGTCACCTCGGCCCTGTGCTTCACTCCGCAGGCCGCTCTCCAGGCCTTGATGAGTTACAGTCCAGCTTGAGGAGTTGTAGAAACCTCCTTTTCTCTTTGAAAGCTGTACTTTCAAGTCTACAGAATGCCGTGGACATTCAATGTCTAGGTTGAAGCAAAAGATGAGAAATGGCTTTTTTATTCCGGGTCTTATCTTCTCTCCCCTTTTCTAGGGCATTAAAACTAACTTGCATCAGCCTTAGTGACTGAAGGACTGGGAGGAGAGAAAAAACAATGTATCGCAGAGAAAGGACAATGCATCAGGTGGCAGGTTAAAGTGTTACCAGCACTAGGGATCAGGAGGGCAGAGTTGGGCTGGCCACCTCCCGGGGAAGGGCCAGGAGATGGGTGTGGCCTCGGCTTTCTTGGAAGCCAATTATTACAGGAATAATTAGGAACCTTGCTCAGGCAGCGGGTGTACTGTAACCAAGGTGAGGGGAGTGCACATCCGATGTTCTCCAACCAGAGGCCCAGGGAGAGCAGGAGGGCCAGGTGAGGGAGGGGACATTTGTTTGTAAACCGAAAAGGAAGGAAATCAAAACAACTGCTGCTCCAAAGCTCAGGAACAGTGCTGTGTCTTCCACTGAGCCCGGGAGAGCGCTGCGTCTACAGGCAGCAGAGGAAAGAGATCTCGTTCCTTGTACTTTCATATCTGTAGGAGACCCCAGGGAGCCAGGAGAGAAATCTGAGCGGTGGGGAAAATAGGAACGCTTCATCTATTTTTAAACAACACAGAGCTCTGGCATTGCAGTCTCCTTCCTGCTTTTGAAACAGAGATCAGAGAGCATTTAGAGTGGGACCTGCTGGAACTGCAAGGGGCGGTACTCCTCACTTCAGACAGACAGAATCCTCCGCCAGGGCCCAGGCACAGCCGGACTCCCTGGACTCCAGTCCTGGAACAGCAGCCCACTTCAGAAACCTGCCTGATACTTCCCTGAAGGGCTGTCCCTCTTCCACAGCCACCACTGCAGGAGGCCGCCCCTCAGGGAGGAGGTGGTGCAGGCCAGAGGCCGTGTCCATGGCAGAGGCCGCACCTCTCCTCTCTCTTCTTGTCCCCATCAATGCATTTGGCTACCCAGAGAGGCTTTTCTCTGTCCTATTCCTTCCCGCCTTCTTAGGGAAGGAAAGCATCTTGCTCCCTGGCCCTCTCCCGTTGGCTAACTTGTGAGCTGGTATATTATCAGGAGATAAGGTTGGCTCAGAGGGATGAGTCAGACTCTGAGCTGGTCTGGAATTTGAGCTTTTCTGACCTGGTGGCAGAGAGACGCTGAATCTGGTTTGAGATTGATGGACTCACCTGTCTGGGGTCAGGACGGCTGGGGCCTCCAGGTGTTCAGGCTCTGGGGCGGGGGAGCAAATACTAACTGAAATAGTTAAAGTGAACACTCAGGTAGCGCTGTATCCGTGCCTCCTGAAAGCTCTACTTCCCCAGGGTAATTTGCATTCCACAGGTAAGGGAGTCCAACCAGCTGAGCGAACCAGGTTAGGGAAGAACATGGTTCATTCATTGGGTAAATAACTCGGAGCATCCACTTTGTGCTGAGCGCCCAAGGACTCCTAAGTGTGACTCAGACAGACCCTAGTTCTCAAGGACCAAGTCTAAACTGTGAGCAGCCAGCGTTAGAGAAACCAAGGAGAGAGTAAGAGAACCCAGCTGCTTCCCATCACCCATGCCCACCTGCAGCTGACCCTGACCCCAGTGTCCAGCTGGTGCAGAGGGCCATTGGGGCCTTGCTAAGTCCGTCCTGGCCAGATCCCCTGGCATTCAGCTCACGCCCACAGTCCCAAGAAAGCTGGCCAGGAGCAAGTTCTCCAAGGAACAGGGAAGGCTACGGTGTCCTCACTCCCTAATGCAAATGCCACCTGTTGCCTGTAGAACTCAAGCCTCGGAGGCTCAGAGCAGACGCAGAGTGTCCGGGCATGCTGGAGTCTGCTGAGCAGCTGCTGGTGGAGGACCTGTACAACCGGGTCAGGGAGAAGATGGATGACACCAGCCTCTACAACACCCCCTGCGTGCTGGACCTGCAGCGGGCCCTGGTCCAGGACCGCCAGGAGGCCCCTCGGAACGAGGTGGATGAGGTCTGGCCCAACGTCTTCATAGCTGAGAAGTGAGTGTGACCGTGGTGGTGGTGGTGACCTTTGTCTCCCCTCTGTTAGTGCCTGGGAGAGGTGACATTCCTTCAGCTTCCGCCCACGGCCCTCGCAGCTCCAGCCCCCGAGGCTGCCTGACCACGTGCCCTGCCCTGGCCTGGGGAGAGACTCCCCAAACCCGCAAACAGAGATGCCCAGGCTCCCTGATCTAGCCTGGCCCCGTGGGTGCCTCCTCTGGGCCTCCTTTCCTGACACAGACTCCTGACACCATGTCCACCATCTCTGGACATCCCCAACAGCCATCGGACAGAATGGCAGGAGCCGTCCACAGCGCTGGTCTGCATGCGTGCTCACCAACACACGAAAGTGTGTGCCACACAGTGGGCGGGAAACCGGGTTACAAAAGAATACTGTATGCTCCCAGACAGGTAGAGGGGTGTGTGTGTGTGTGTGTGTGTGTGTGTATGCTCGCACTCACGCTTTTCCATCAACAACAAGTTAGCAATAAGGGTCTCTGGGAAGTGGTTTTACAAGTGGCTTCAGTTTCCCGTCTAGGTTTGTTATGAATTTTACAAGTTCCCAAGACATTTATTGTCTTCGTAATCAGAAAAATGTTATTCTTTAAAAGTTTATGAATGGTTTCCAGAACAAAAACAAAGACAACTTGCACATTCCACGTGTTATCCCTCCAGGCCTTACCAGAGCATAATTGGTACCAGCAGGTTAACATAAGAAACTGATTTTGGCTGATCCACTGTCTGCTGAATGGATGTGCTCCCAATGTAATTACCCAGGTGTCCACAAGCACAGGGGGACCCGGGCCCGGGCGGGCAGTAGCATCAGATAGCTGGGGACGTGAGGTCTGAAACTCCTTCCTGTAGTGACTGGTGCCTGGGGCCTGCTCCCAGGGCAGGGACCAAATCCTGCGTGTTCACCACCAGAAGCACTTGGCTTGTGGCCCCAGGCATCTCCAGCTGCCCCAGCTCACTGTCTGCTCCTTCCCAGGCAGGCCTGTGCCCAGGGCTCTCAAATTGAGCCCTTCAAAATCAGCTGCAGCACAAAGAGCTCAGAAACACTGGTTCTTGTTCCATCTTTTTCTTCTTTCACAGTCTTGGGCAGTTATTCATTTTCAGAATCTTTGAATGGAGTTAGAATTGTTGCCCTTGAGTTTACTGTAAGGGGAAAACGAGATGATGCATGTGAGGGGATTTGGGCAACACAGTGTGTGTCATCCGTGCACAACACACCTAATGTCTTGTCTGCCAGCTTTGTGCTTGGGTGAGTGTGCATTCCCAAGGTATGGGATTCGCAACTAGAGAACCCTGGACCACCCTAAAGATTCCTTGCACCCCAATCTCGTTCCCCCCACCCTGCCCATCTAGCTCCGTCTCTTCCCTCTCTCGTGCGGCAGCCAAGTCAGGCCCCTTTAAATGCAGGTGTCCATGGTGAGCCCCAGACCTCCTGGGGAGAAGAGGAGGCACTCACCCTGCTGGGTCTCCAGGCCCAGAGGCAGGCTCCCACTATAGTGGTCAACCTGCCCGGCTCTCCCTGCAGGAGCGCAGCTGTGAACAAGGGGCGGCTGAAGAGGCTGGGCATCACCCACATCCTGAATGCTGCCCACGGCACCGGTGTCTACACTGGCCCTGAATTCTACACTGGGCTGGAGATCCAGTACCTGGGCATGGAGGTGGACGACTTCCCCGAGGTGGACATCTCCCAGCACTTCCGGAAGGCTGCGGAGTTCCTCGATGAGGCACTGCTGACCTACAGAGGTGAGGGGCTCTGCTGCTCGGGCTGCTGGACTCCCCCTGGGTAGAAGCAGGGGGGGGGTCACGGTCATCTGAGGGGATCTGGCGACACGGCTGTTTCTCTGGGAAGTGGAGAGAGGACAGGATGATCATTGACCCCACAAGCGATCCCGAGGGCCTCTCGTGTGCGGGTGCTGTGGTGGCACCCAAGCAACAGGTGGACACGCTTAAGCTAGCCAAGGAGAGATGAAAGGGAGGGTGGAGGCGTGGGGTGGTGACAAGCGCAAGGCAGGGACTGTCCTGCGATGGCTCCCAGGGCTGACAGGCTCCTTGGAGAGGCCATCTGGGAGGTCCTTCTGAGTGCCTTTAGCCCAAGTGCTACTGCCCTGGTCCCCAGGGGAAGTGATCTGAGAGTAGCCACAGTAGACCCTGGAGGACAGGCTGGAGTCAGGACAGTGGCCACAGAATGGCAGCCAGAGTGCAGGGTGCTGCCCAGAAACCTGGGCTGAGTCCAGGATTCGTTGGGCTTTTCCCACCTGGACTGGGCTGTCTCCCTGTCCCAGGGAGCTCGGGTTTCGTCTACATAGAACAAAGATTAAAACATCTGATTCTAAAGTTGTCATGAGGGGCTGGGGCTGAGGCTCAGCAGGAGAGCACTCGCCTAGCACGTGCGAGGCCCTAAAATAAAGATGTTGTGTCCAACTAAAAAATAAATACTAAAAAAAATTAAAAAAAATAAAGTTGCCATGAGGGATAAAAATCTTTAATGCATATCAGGGTTTATTTAGCACAACACCCAGCTCTTGGTGAATGCCTGAACGTCATGCCATTATTGTAATAATCCATGTGGCATTCCTGGGAAGGGCATTTCCTGTCACCACCAACATCAGGGATAGGTCACATGTAACGTGTATGTTGTAAATACACACACACGCACACACACGCAATGCTTAAAATCTCCTACTTTAAAAAACAGGGGCCTTTGGACACATTGGGGTTGCTGGCATCTGTCCAGGGTCTGTGGGAGGGGACCTATTCCTGCCACTGGACCTGGAGAGCAAGGCCAACCTCCCTGTGGAGAGGGAGCCAAGAGCATCAGACACAGGGTGGGTGGCAGGTCCCCACAGCATCCAGGGCGAAAGAGGCTTCAACTCATTTTGGGGGCCACCAAGGCACCACGAGAGCCTGTGGGGAGGCGGAGGGAGGATGTTGCATTGGGTGCAGGAGCTGTGGCTCCGGGAGGAAGCTCCTTGCTGTGTCCATGAGGGGCCAGCCCACATTGAACACCCACGTTGGTGTCAGCAGGCGTACACCCAGTCTGCCGGTGAGGTGGCCTCTCCTGCTGGGTTTCTGTTCTCACGACTAAAAGGCTCAGGGGTCACTCCAGTTGAACTGGGCTGACTGGGCTGTGCAAGAGACAAGAGACCCAAATACCTTTTTCTTTGGGGTCACGGTGACGGCTCCTCTGAACTTAAAAGAAAGAGAAGAGAGCGAGAGCACGCGCTGACCCCTTTTATTGAGGAGAAACTACTCAGATGAGGCAAGGGGTCAGGTTCAGGGGGCTGAGTCTATCTTCATGATGTCCACTGTCAGCAGGTTGTCTGACACCTGGGTAGGCCACACCCAAGGGCACAGTAAGAGAAGGGGACACACACAAGGCACTTCCATGGAAGATTCTATCCTAAACAGGGCAAGGGGTTAGATTACAGAGGAACAGGTGAGCGTAGCTCCACCCACGGGGCTGTAGGAAGACACACCCGTGCACGAGACACCGACCCTGGAACCCAAGAAGGGTGGGGAAAGCTCTGCCACTTTTCTGTGACTGAGCGCCTCAGCACCCGGCCGGGGAGTGTGAGCCAGTCATGTGCAAGGTTGGTCTCCCACACTCTCCTGTCCCTCGAGCCTCGCTCTTGAGCGGGCAGCAGAGGGCCATGCCCTGACTCTGGCTGCTGCCTGTGGGGAGGTCCCACTCGTGAACGCCCCTACTCTAGAGCCTTCTTCCTGTGGCTTCCTCTGCTCGTAGCTGCTTGGACACTAGCTGCTAACAAGGAGGAGGGTGGAAAGGGACACCCTGACCCCTCAGGGCAGTGCTGTTATCCACATCTAACCGTCCTGGAAGCTGAGACCCGCCGACAGTCTAGTGACTTTGCCAGATGTAACAATCAAGATGCCCTTGGTTGCTGGTAACAGAAAACCACCCCAAACTCCTTCACAGCAGCAGAGGCCTTCAATAGGAGGCCACGAGAGGATCTAGAGACCACAGGAGTGTGGCACAGAGTGGCCAGGAGCAAGGACAGGCAGGGCACTCTTGGTCCCACCCTTCCTCGCTTCCCTGGGTGGCAAACGCAGGCCTGGCATTAGCCGATCACCTGCCTCTGCCCATCGCCATGGGCTTCTACCCTCCAGCAGTCCCTCAGGCCACCCCGGCTCCTCGGAGGGACCCCAGGGTACAGAGTAGGCCCAGAGACACACGGAACCTGCAGCCTCGTCTGAGTGGGATCTGATGCCCTTATGAGGAGGACTGGGTGGTCGCGTCCTGGAACGCGTTGGCAAGTCCAAGGTGAGGCCTTGGTCCTACCAGATGGCCCAGGGAGGGACCATGGAGCCCTGGGCTGGAGTGGGAGGGGCAGGCAGCCCATAGGTAAGCAGTGGTCTCAACCCCTTGGATTCTGCTCTGCTGTGTCCCCCAGAGGCTACTGGATCTTGGCAATAGTACCTGCAGCATTGCTGAACCTCAGGGCCCCATCTCATCTCTGACCCCTTGTGTGACAAAGGCATGGCCTTGGCTGGCAGGGAGACAGAATAAGGAGACTCGCCTCCCATCTCATCTAATCAGGGCTCTCAGACGACGTTAAAGGTCCCCCAAGACTGTGGGCAGACAGACGGTGACGGCCAGGAAGAAGGTCTCCAGGGGTCTGGTCTGCACTATCAGCCAGCACCAGAGGAGCAGTGTAGACGTCAAGGCCATCCCGTTCAGGGCAGAGGGGAAGCACAAGGGAGGGGGCAGATAACTGACGTGCTGAATGGCAGGGTCACTACTGGACAAGCCACACAGACTTACAAGCAGGTCACAGCTACCGAAGTACTGGAAGGAATCTGTGAGATGCTATGAGATAAGGAAGACAGACTTGGAATTTTTTTAAGTTTTATAGATTTCGGTTGATATAGAAGACGACTTGAGCTCATTGTGTGACATGCCCACCCACACAGACCACAGGCCCGGGCACGTGGTGCTGTGGTTCAGGTTGGTCTGAGTGTCGCCCAGCACTTCCCGTATTGGAATTTAATCCCATTGTGAGGTGTTAAGAGGGTGGGAACTTAATCAGAGTATGGTGTTCAGAGACCTTTGGGAAGTGATGAGGTTCGGATGCAGGCATTAGGGTGGAGCCTCATGATTGAATCCTGGAAACGTTTGAAGAAGGGGGGAAGATGAAGGCAGACACATGTGCATGCTCCCTGCCTCTTATCCTGTAATGCTCTGCATTGCCTTGGGACTCTGCCAGTAGGAAGGCCATCACCAGATGAGGCCCCTGAATGTCGCACTTCCAGAACCATAAGCCCAAATAAACTATTTTTCTTTGAAAAGTAGCCTGCCTCAGGTATTTCATTATAGTAATGGACAGCTGACTAATACAGAATGCATGAACGAAGGCTATGTTCTTAGAGCCAGAGTGGTGAGGGTTCCACCTACTGTATGCCATGCAGTCAAATGTGACATGTTTGGCTCCATCCTAGACCCAAACTCCTCAGTGAGCAACTGATAAGTTTAACTCTTAACCTGGAGGAGAGTGTCTAGAATAGCATGGAAATATGAAAAAGAAAGTTTGAATATTGATTGAAAGACACATAATAGCCAGAAAAAAAAAATCCTTAGGGAAGAATATGATAATGATCCTCTCGAGGATTTTTGCACATAGGTCGGGATCATGTGGACGTATTCATTATTGAATCCAGAATGTCAGAATAGGAGCGCTGGCTGCCGTTGCACTGTTATGCTTTGCCCTAGATAGGAAAGAACTTCCAAGACTCGAGTGATCCCACATGAAGGGGGCCATGTCCACTTGTCTCCGTGAGCCAGTGAGCTCCAAATCGCAGGAAGCATCCTGCAGAGGCTGGTGGTGGCCAGCCAGCATGAGGACCCTGTACAGGGCCATCCCAAGCTCCGATGACTGGGGGTGCTCTTCCGCCCTGGGATCTGCTCTGATTCGGGGACTCAGGCCATGATGAACAGCAGCTCCAAGCACTGGGTCCAGCACCCCGAACAGCACTTCAGAGAAGCAGGACCGGCAGCCGCCAGGTGGCATCAAGTCTCTGTGTGTTCTATTTGCAGGGAAAGTCCTGGTCAGCAGCGAAATGGGCATCAGCCGGTCGGCAGTGCTGGTGGCGGCCTACCTGATGATCTTCCACAACATGGCCATCCTGGAGGCCTTGATGACCGTGCGCAGGAAGCGGGCCATCTATCCCAACGACGGCTTCCTGAAGCAGCTGCGGGAGCTCAACGAGCAGCTGATGGAGGAGAGAGAGGAGGACTGCGGCCCAGAGGGAGCCGGCCAGGGCCAGGAGGCCCGGGGCACCCTGGGGGCGCGAGCGCAGCTGACGGTGGAGGAGGAGGACGAGGCCACCAGCCACCTCAGCGGCTGCTCCCTGGGGAGGGCCAGCCAGGCCTCCGAGCCCCTCACCCTCATTGACGAGGAGGAGGAGGAGAGGCTGTACGAGGAGTGGAAGAAGGGCCAGGGCCTCGCGGCGGGCAGCACGGCCGGGGGTGGACAGTGTCCAGGGCCGGCCTCTTCGCGCCAGGCCAGCCAGGAGCAGGAGCAGGAGCTCGAGGACCAGGGCGTGGAGAGGATCGTCCAGGAGTGGCAGAGCCGGAACGAGAGGTACCACGCCCAGGGCCACCAGCGGTGGGCCCTGGAGGAGGACGAGGAGGTCGAGGAGGAGGAGGAGGAGGGCAAGTCCGCGCGGAGGCGCAGGCGCGCGCGGAGCCAGAGCAGCGTCTCCGAGAGCGAGAGCGCGCTCAGCCGGGAGGCGCGCGTCCTGCGGCAGCTGGAGCTCGGCGGCCCCAGCCCGGGCGCCCGGCGCCGCTCGGACTCGGTGTCCACCGAGAGCACGTGGGACCTGTGGAACGAGAGGCTGCTGGAGATCGAGAGGGAGGCCGCGCGGGAGTTCCGCTCCAGGAGCAGGAGGGAGGAGGAGGCCGGGAGCACGGGGCCCGAGGATGACCAGCAGAGCGTGGGCTCCGAGGCCAGCTCCTTCTACAACTTCTGCAGCAGGAACAAGGACAAGCTCACTGCCCTGGAGAGGTGGAAGATCAAGAGAATCCAGTTTGGATTTCACAAGAAAGACCTAGGGGCGGGAGAGGGCAGCGGTGAGGCGCGGGGCCCCGAGGATGCCCCCGGGGAGAGGAACCCCCCGGACGTCAACCTGACGGCCTACCAGGCCTGGAAGCTGAGACACCAGAAGAAGGTGGGCAGCGAGAACAAGGAGGAGGTGATGGGGCTGAGCAAGGCGGAGGACGCCGTCCTGGCCAAGAAGAGACAGCGGAGGCTGGAGCTGCTGGAGAGGAGTCGGCGGACACTGGAGGAGAGCCAGTCCACCGCCAGCTGGGAGGTGGACGACTCCGTGGCCAGCGGGAGCATCCCCCTGTCCGCCTTCTGCTCTGCAGCCTGCTCCGTCAGTGCTAACGGGGACACAGGGTCAGTACTGGGCGCCCAGAGCCACCACTCCCTCCTGTCCCAGGCAGCCAGCAGCATCGGGGGATGCTCGGCCGCCAACCCCAGCAGCCCCCTGCCCGGCCTGCCAGTGGGGCCTGGAGACACCATTTCCATCGCCAGCATCCAGAACTGGATTGCCAGCGTGGTCAGTGAGACCCTGGCTCAGAAGCAGGGTGAAATGCTGCTGCTGTCTCGCTCACCTTCCGTGGCAAGCATGAGGGCAGGGCCAGCCACCAGCTGCCTGGGGGACGACCAAGTCTCCATGCTCAGTGGACAGAGCAGCTCCCTTCTGGGTGACCGCCTGCTGGGTCAGAGCCAGGCCAGGCCCAGCTCCGACTCCCAGTCCATGCTGTCCTCCAGGGCCGAAGGGGCTGGGAGCAGGGTCAGGGGGACCAGCAAGCCCATCTACAGCCTCTTTGCTGACCATGTGGACCTAAAGGAGCTCAGCCGCAAGGAGAGGGAGATGCAGATGGAGCTGAGGGAGAAGATGTCTGAGTACAAAATGGAGAAGCTGGCCTCCGACAACACACGCAGCTCCCTTTTCAAGAAGAAGAAGGTCAAGGAAGAGGATGATGGTGCTGGTGATAAGGATGGGGACACAGACAGCGCCATCGGGAGCTTCCGACTCTCTTCCCGCAGTAACTCCCAAAAGCCGGAAACGGACGCCTCTTCCTCCCTGGTGGTCTCTGACCACGGTAGGAGAGGCAGCAGAAATGGCAAGGAGATGGACAGCAGCATCAATAAGTGGCTCAGTGGCCTCAGGACCGAGGAAGACTCTCCTCCCCAGAGTGACTGGTCTGGCAGCTCCAGGGAGAGGTACAGCAGATCTTCCCGGCACCGGGAAACCGAGTCCAAATCCTCCAGTTACAAGTTCTCCAAATCCCGGTCAGAGGAGCAGGACACCTCCTCCTACCACGACGAGGACGGCAGCTCTGTGAGGAGCACTTCCCGTTTCTCCTCGTCCTCCACCAGGGAGGGCAGAGAGACACACAAGTTCTCCAGGTCCACATTCAGTGAGACCTCCAGCTCCCGAGAGGAGAGCCCCGAGCCCTACTTCTTCCGCCGGACCCCTGGGCCCTCCGAAGGGGAAGAGTCCCCAGAGCCACGGCGCCGGGACTGGGCTAGGCCCAGGGACTGGAAGGACGTGGAAGAGTCATCCAAGTCGGACTTCTCTGAGTTCGGAGCCAAGAGGAAATTCACCCAGAGCTTCATGAGGTCTGAAGAGGAAGGCGAGAAAGAGAGGACAGAAAACAGAGAGGAGGGCAGGTTTGCCTCTGGGCGGAGGAGCCAGTATCGGAGAAGCACAGACAGAGAGGAAGAGGAGGAGATGGACGACGAAGCCATCATCGCCGCTTGGAGACGCCGGCAAGAGGAGACCAGGACTAAGCTGCAGAGGAGGAGGGAGGACTGAACAGGGCCTGGGCCACCTGCCGCTCAGCGGAGCACGGGGCTCAGGCACACCCTGCCACCACCCCTCAGGGGCCGAGGATGCACAGAGGATCTCTCCAACAGGCAGAGGGGCAGTGCCCGAGTGGAAGGACACCGGGTGCAGGGTGGGAGGAGAGAGCCATGCTGGGCCAGCTCGGGCTGTTTTCTGTCGTCCAGGGCCCTCTGTGCTTTGGTGCTTATGCGTTGGACAGTGTGTGTCCTGGACTGGAGAGGAGAGCGTGAAAGGAATTGCAGTTTGTTGGAGAGTCCAGTGTACATCCAGGAAGGCCATGAAGGCAGGACTTGGTTCTGTTCAAGTGGTTTCATAACAAGTCCCAGGAAATCTGTCAGCAATGCCCAGCTCTGTTTAGTATCTTGGATCTCCATTAAATTGGTGTGTTGTGAAATCTTCCTTCTGCACTCTGGTCACTTTAGCTCTTTAGATGTTAGGGGAAGCTCACTTCAGAAGTCACGGTGGATTTTTATGGGCCAGCCTCACCTTGCTCCACAAAATCTGTGCCTCCAGGCAATGCCACCACCGTCTTGTCCTGTATAATAAAGGAAGATTTGGTCCAGGATGTAGGGCAGCTGAGAGGCCATTCCAGGACCCACCCCCACCTCGCCCGGGAGCAACAGAAGGAACTAGGGAAAGAGTGAGGTGAGTGTGTGAGCGGCAAGGTCTGGGGTACAGAGGGTCCCTTGGAATGACAGGAACACAAAACCAGCCTGAGGGAGACCAGAAAAGCCCCCAGTACCAGGTGGAGACGAGTTTTTATAAAACCTCGAGGCCATCCTTGCTTTCATTTCTTGAAGGCTGATTGGATAATGAGAGTGTACTTGGTCCTTCCTTGCCCTGTGGGTGGGCTGAGCTGGTGAGAAGTCTTTACCCTTGTCACCAAGACATTTCTGCCCCTAAGACACAGGTTGGCTTGCTGGAGCAAGCAGAGGACTTTGAGCACCTTACAACCTCCACTAGTGGGCTGGTCTCCAGAGCTCCTGTGGGGCCGCGGACCCGGCCGGATTTGAACAGGCCTGTGCCATGCAGGGGTCTGAGATGTCTTGAGTGACCATGAAGCCCAGCCCAGGGACACAGCTGGCCATGACTTGATTATCGAGAGGGCAAGAGTAAGGAGGAATCCACCTGGGCAAACAGTAACTGGTGATCCTGGGATCCCTTTCTCTAAAACCTGAGCTGCCCGGGACGTGGAGACGAGGCAGCCTTCCTGCACGGATTGGCTCAGCATCACGTGCCTCATGGGCTCAAAGACGAAAATGCTAAGGGGAAGGGTGCCAGCGTGATGCCCGATCCCTGCACGGCACGCAGCTGCTGTCGGAGCTGCTGAGTTCACTTTCTGCCTCCCCCTCCCTGCACCCACAGCTCAGTTGCTGCGGCCCCATCTCCCCTCATGACGGACAGGAGCTTGGCGGGGCGTGGGAGGGGACTCAGTCTTCGTCCCATTCCCCCCATTCCCCCCTTTCCTTCTTCCTGTTCACCGTGGCTTCAGTGGGCTCCCCTGGGCCTGTGTACTCCCACTGTGTACAAAGGTGCCCTCCTGGCACCCTCCGCACCAAGAGGCTGCTCCCACCGGCCCTGGGCCTCTAGGAACTCGGGGCTTCCTCTCCTTCGTGCTGTGGGGAGGCTTCTGACCCAGGCGTGACCAGCTGGGCACCCACAGAAGGAGCATCTTCTGAAGGGAGGACTGAGGATATCATGGACGGAGCCAGTTAACCCAGGTGTCTGCCCAGGCCTCATTTTTAACATCACTCACACAACACACAGATGGGTCCCCGTCATGTCAAGGTAGAGGAGACACCTCACAACTCACTCCTGGTCCATTCCAACTCACTTCTCTGAATGTGGACCAAGCAGTTGAGGGGTGTGGATCTGAAGAGTCGCCAGTCTTCCTCCAGCCGGGATGTGCACTGCCCACTTGTGTTGAGGTTTTAGGCTATAGGGGCACCTGTAGACCAGCTGGCTTACTAGCAGGGGAAGCCAGAGAGGTCCTTTGCTGGCCTTGCTGGGGACCCTGCCACCCAGGGAGTCTGTCTGAGAATTCAAGACTCTGGATTCGCTTATTCCTCGAGTCCAGAGTCTGTTTTTGGAAACCACATCAATAACAATTGTATCTGATTTATGATGAACTTGAGGAAATATCTGGGATTGAACTGTTAGACTCCCAAGTGTGACTTGTGCATTTTACCTAACCGAGGGTGACAGCGGCAATCCCGCGTGCTGTCTGCCTGTTGGTAAAAGCCCCACAGGAAGCAGCGGGCACATCTACAGTGGTGACCGAGGGGAGCTCGAGGTGGGACATTTGCCGAGCACCAGAGGGAAGGGGTCAGAGGGAGAGAGTGGTCCCACCCTGGTGCTGAGGGACAAAGTGAGGAAGCTGTTTCCAGAGCCCCACAAGAGCCATGACCAAGGGAGAGGGGGCCCCTGACCACCTGGAGGTCAGGGAAATAAATGTCCCGATCCCTGTCCCCCTGTTGTGGTCTCATGTAGTGGCTCCCACCAGCCAAACCTGACTGAAGGCAGTAAGTGGAGGAGTCTGAGGAGGAACAAAAGTGGGTCTGGAGAGGCCGTGCCACCGCACAAAGGGTGACGCGCTGAGAGGAAAGGACATCTCGCAGCTCTTTCCAAGGACGTGTCTGGGATGAGGGAGACGCTCTGCACTGAACACAAAACCCACCCGCCCTAGGATCAGCACTTGGCACCGAGTTTCTGCTACATGGAATCAACTGTTGGAGACGCTGAGTTTGTTTTACAAGAAAACAAATAAGGAGAACAAATCTGAAGCTTGGCCTTGCTTTTCTTCATAGGCATCTGGTACTTCAACTCTCCTAACTTTCACCATGTCTGTGGTGCTACAATTAAGTAAGATGATTTTAATGTGCCGAGGCCGTTCATGGCACGCAGGAGAATTTAGTGGTTCCACGTTGCTCCATATAATTCTATAACAATGCTCAGTTATAATTGTTATTATTATAGACATGGTGTGGTAAGTAGTTAAGAACACAGCTTTGTGATCTAATTGAAAAACTGCCAACACTTATACAAAGTGTTTACCGTGTTCCAGGCACTACACTGAGAGCTTTAGCATGGATTATCCACTTTGTGTCTACTGTTATCAACTTGATCTCTCCCCAATCCTATCCTTGATTATTATTGATTTTTGAAGCACATGATGTACAAACACCGTGCCAGGCACTGGAAATTCAGCTAGAAATCAAGGCAGATCAAACCTGGCCTCAGGGAGCTGGCCGTCCTGTTACAGGAGACAGTGGACAAACAGGCCTTTAGAGATCTAGAACACTGTTCACGTCGGCGGCCCGTGCATCGTGACTGTCCCCACTAGCAGGGAAGCTCCTGGGGAGAGGGTTAATCTGGACTGGGTCTCCCACAGTTTGATACCAAGCCTTCTCTGGATGAAGACAGGAAATGCTCTGAAGGAAGTGACGGGGACAGGCATGGGGTGGCGTGGCTTTAGGCAGGTGACATGAAACCTGGACCAGTCAGGCCAGGGCCCAGGGGAAAGATTGCTCCCCATGGGCAACCCCTGGGGACCCTGGGGCTCTGGGAGGAGGAATGATGAACTACCTGGGCCACAGGTCTACTCCACGCCCAGCTTGAGGGAGTCCCCTGGAGTCTGACTTCAGGCCACGCACCTCACAGGGCAGGCAGCCTCTGAGGGTGCTTGGGAGGGTGCCTGTGCATCTAACCGAAAACACGGGCCAAGGGTCCGCTGGTTGACTCAGCAAGGATCCTGGGGCCCGAAGGAGGCAGCTTGTCTCTGCTGAGGCTCAGAGTGCCTGTCCGTCCGTCCTTCCTTCCTTCTCTCTCTGACGTGCTCGCTCTCTTTCTTCCCTATGGGTGAGCAAGACGGTTAGGTGTAATGGGAAGAGAATGTCACAGGATTCACAGTTGGAGGGGACTCCAGGCGGGAGTGAAGTCCAGGGTGGAGTGGTTCAGCCACCTGCTCGGGAGAATAGCCGCTTCTGCTCACCGCTGGCCGTGGAGGGCCTCGCTGTCCGGGCCGGGGGACGCTGCAAGCTCTCCAGCACAGCCTGTCCTGACCCATGTCCTGCTCTCCAAGGCAGAGCAGAGACAGGGAGGAGGAGGAGACAGGGAGGAGCTTGGCTCCAGAGGCCATGGGTAACAACTGTCCTGCCCTGCTCTGGGCCTCACGCCCAGGGGACTGCCAAGGGCCTCTGGAGGAACCCAGCCTTCCTCACAGGAACCCAGAGTGACTAAAAGCCCATTCACAGGCAGAAGGGCAGATAGCAGGCAGGACTCCCTGCCTTTTGTGGGACATTGAGACCATGTGGGTCATTTCAAAGACAATGCCAGTAATGTCCCGTAACCAGCCCCAGTGGCCCCAGAGAAGAGGCACAGCAAGAGAGACCCTCCTGGCACTGAAAAGCCCAATGACGACCACGTGGTAAGATTCACTCAGCTCCACTGCCCAGCATGGCAAGGCTGTGACATGGGTTCACAGATGGAAGACTCCGATGAGAGGGGTGCTGTGTGCTGTGTTCCCAAATTCATATATTGAGAGCTCATCCCCAGTGCAGTAGTCAATAGCACCCAGAGGCAGGTCCTCCACAGGTGAGCAGGCCCTGAGGACCTGTCCTTGTGGACGGGATTATTGCCCATGGGATGGTGCTTGCTCCCCATCCAGCCTCGCCTGCTGCGTCCTCCGTGAAAGCGAGAGTCCTCCCCAGAGGCAGAATCTGCTGGCTCCTGGGTCACAGCCCCCGGACCTGTGAGCAGCACAGGCTACTGTTGATAAATCACCCGGTCTATGTGGTTTTGTTACAGCAGCAGGAAGGGACTGGCAAGGGCTGAAGTCATGTCCCCAGGATCACAGGAGGGGGACGGCAAGAATCTGAGCCTAGACGTATCTGACTTTAAAACCACTTTTCTACCACACCATTTCGCCCAGGGAGAGGTTAACACTGTGATTGTAGAGAAATCTGGATGTGGAGGCAGGGCTGGGGCCGGTTGGCCACTCAGAAGACACGGTCCCCGAACAAAGCACGACTGGCCTTCCTCCCGGCAGCACATGGCCAACTCACTAATAAACAGCGCAGCGTGGGAAGATGACAAGCCCGCAGCCCCAGGGACTGCTCCAAACAGGAGCTGTACTTAGAGACGGGATGTTCAAAGAGGTTAAGATTTCCGTCTGCACTCTCTTCGCCGCTCCCGGGAGAGAAGCTCTCATCGTGGGGAGTCACAATATTTGTGCGTCTTTCAGACAGCTCTCTCTCTCTTTTAAAGCTGCCAGCACAGGTGCAAGGTAGCTCTCCATCTATTACAAAGGCTTCCGCGGGCGGCAGGGAGTAGGAGGGGCTTCAGCAGGGCTGACACAGGACACAGATGTTCTGCGTGTGTGTGTGTGTGTGTGTGTGTGTCCACATGTGTGTATGTGTGTGTGTGTGCGTGTGTGCATGCATGTGTGCGTGTGTGTATAGACAAAGAGAAATGTTAGGACAGTCTTCATCCCCCAGCGTGGCTGCCTGTTGGATAGTAGTGGAGTCAGGAAGAATGAGGGTCTCAGGCAAGGCCAAAATTTAGACAATTAGGTCTGAAAACCAGCCTATCAATAGACATGCACTAAAATATATTTTATTCATAAACAAACAAGAAGTAATTTTAAACCAGCTGTAGAAGACCTCCCTCACCAGCCTCTCCATCCCCTTCTAAGAAATGCAAATTCTGAGCCTGTCTTCCTCTGAGGACTTTGCTTGCAAATCTAGCGGGTTCTTCAACAGAGGAGGGCGCTAGGAGCCCAGAGGCCCTGGGCTTGAAATCCCAGCGAGGCTCTTCCTTTTGAGTTAAAGCCCTGGCCACCGCTAAAATGGCAGTGGATTTGGGATCACCTGGTAGCATGCGTTAGCCAGGTTCCTTTGGGATGACAAGGACACGCAGAAAGTGAGTTACAAGGAGGAAAGTGGAGGGTCTGGAGCCTGTGACTTGTGGAAGAATGACAAGGACAGCCGGGGCCTTGCAGGTCAGGACAGGGCTCCAACCCCCCCCCCTTTGTTAACCTTCTGGGTCTGCAGGGCCTGGGGGTCACAGGACAGCACCTCCCTTTCCTCCTCCTGGCCCTCCAGTGCCAGGAGCAGCCCATTTCTCAAGTCCCAATGTCAGCTGATGGACCACGGTGATGGAGGCTTCCGATTGGATCAGAGAGCGAGCAGCTGTCGGTGAGAATGGTCTCTGGACCCTTTTCTCAACACGATTGCAAACTGGATGATTATTAAAGTTGCAGGTACCAAGATAATAAACACCTTTACTGCTCTGTGATAATGACCTGACCTGGGCACCCAGGCCTGGCCTGGAAGTTCTCACTGACGACTCAGCTGCAGACCGAGTTCTGTCCAGACGAATGCCCTCCTGACCCCACAGGAGGCTAGCAGTGGTACCAAAGAGGACACAGGAGGCGGGCAGTGCGACGGCACCGAGATCCTTCAAGACGTCCTTCCTGCTAGCCTGGAGATGCTGTTGTGCCAACTCGTGCACCTACTTGCGGAGGGGGACTAGGACCCCGTGTTGGTGCCATTCCAACAGAGGCAGGGAAAAGTCAAGACGACCGCAGAGTTAAAACGCTATCAGACATGACACCCTCATGCTTCTCGTTCTTAAATAAAATTATGCTAGTCTACACCTAAGTTTTATGTCAATGTTCAGGAATTCCTTCCTGGACTTGCCCAGGGCTCCTTAGCTACATTGGTTGTACCCCCAGCTATACCTGTGGTTTTCCATAAACTCTCTCAGTCTACGTGCCTCTGCTTTGTGACTCTATGTAACGTCCGTAGCCACAGTTGCCACAAGCAAAGGCAGAATCTTAGTCATCTAGGCTGTCAGAGTGGCCTGACCGGAGCCGACACCTCCCGCACCCCCACAGCCTCACAGTTACCAAGCGCTCCGCAGGCGCGGAGTGGAGTGTGGAAGAACTCAGGCCTCTCTGCCATCCCCAGGTCCCCAGATCAAGGGCTACCACCATAAATAAACCTGGACACATAGTTTTTAATTGGTCAATAATCTTGATGCTCCCTGGTTGGCTGTCCAGATCATATCTGGGGTTATTTCCTGCTGCTTGTTCGTTTGTTTTCTCTGGAGGAAGGTATGTATTTGATTTGTGAGCATCTGTACTTCCTGGGAAGTTTGTCTCATTTGGTTTTTAAGTTCTCCATAGGTGTCCTCCGATTTTTCATGCATGCCACAAACATTAAGACCTCTTGGTTGAGAATATTCACGTCAAGTGCGAATGGCCTTTGAGTGATCCACCGTGAGCGGGCTTGATTCAGCGGTGGTACTGGATGCTCGGAAACCTAAGATGGACAGAGAGCCTGGAGCCCCTGGTGCTGTTCTGCAGCCAGCTGCCCTGCTCCAGTGCCCAGAGGAGAGGTCTGTGTCCATCACAGACCGTCATGATCTCCTTGTTGAATTTCAGGAGGCTGCAGCCAAGGGTGCTGGTGCCATCAGTAACTCCTGCAGCCTTCCGCTTCACTGCGTAGAGCTCTGTTTAAAAGGGGTTGATTTATCTGCTCTGAAAAACACACAGAAGAATAGGAAACTTCTCCTATCATCAAAAGGGTTTCCTGTAAGACATACAGTTTCCGGTTGGAAAAGACAAAACTAACACTGATAATCAGTTGGATCAACCAGAGAATACAGATACTGAAATGTGAGCTGCAGTGGCACACCTTTTACCTTTTTCCGTAATCTTGACTTTCTCCCCTCCAAAAAAGAGAAGAAAGAAAATTTCACGGAAACCCACCCAGAACATACAGAAAAACACAAAAAGACATAAAAACTACCTGTAATTACACCGCTGGGCGATGACCACAATCGACATTTTTTGAGGAATATAAAATCTTACTTTTTGAGATCATATAGGCTATTTTAAAAGTGAATTTCACTTAACATTTTACCATATAAGACATCTCCTTGCAACATGAATTTTTGTAGCTTTATAGTGCTTGATCTTTTGGCTAGGACTAAATTATTCTATCATCTCTATTACTGAGCGATGATCTCTTCTGGGTTTCTGTCATAAACAACAATGAGATGAATCACATGGTTGTGTGTCTGCCCAAT